CCAAAGACATCACAATGTAAAATATTTTGGCATCAGTGAAGAAACAACCTAATGGAAACAAAAGGGAATGCTACTTCCCAAATAACTGATAAATGCATAGCCCTCAAAAGAAGTAATAGAGCTTTGATTCTAAGACTAAGAGAGGAGAGTAGTTTGTTTTATTTATCTATTTTTTATCACTTACAATTTGACTGTCCATGACTTATTAAATCCACTGGTTTTCTGAACCACAGATTCTCATCCAATGTCTGCAAATATTCTTACACTCAAGAATGAATCTCTTGTCTTTACTAAGTATCGAGTCCTTTCACATTAAAATGGAAAATGTCAGGAAAATCTGTAGGGCAGAGGAGAGCTATCACAGGAGTTAGCAGGAATAAGGATACTCCTGGGATGGTAAGAATAGCAGGAATCAGTTAAAAATCCAAGTCAAGTTGTCTAGGAAATGGAAAGGATTTGGTAGACTAGGATACGTCAGGACTATAGAGACAGGGCCTTTCAGCAGGCTCAAATAGGAGATACCTCTGCCCCCAACACACACTTTGCAGCTTTGGAAGAGTTGCATGATGTCCACCTCACAACCTGGCCTTGACCAGCATCAGGTAGCCATGTTTCCCAGTTAACCCATAAACCGCCATCCAGCATCTCTACTAAACAGAATGTTGAGAGAAATTCCAATTTCTAGACGCGATTTTGTTTTATTCCAGAAGGTATTTCCTTAATTCTCCAGCAGTGCCTCTATTGAGTGAGATCTACTGGCAAGTCTCCTACAGCTTTGGGGTAGCAGTTTGGAAGGTAAAGCAATTGGATATTGTCCCTTTAAAATATCATTCAATTAGGTCTTTTGTAATACATACAACATAACGAGATAGCCTTACCAATTCTGAAGAAATTGCTAGTGCATTTCATCAAAGGCACAATAATGGAAACATCGATTCACTCCTTACCACAAACATCTCCCTTTGATACTGCAGTTACCTTAATACTAGCACTTTTCATTTTCTCTAGAAGAAAACAGCTGCCTCTATGCCTGCACATCAGAGAAGGCTCGAGTCTGAAATAACACATTTGTATATCAATCTCAACTACACTTGCATTTTCATCTGCTGCTGCCTCACATCACTCTCCTTGACTCTAAACCACTGACTTACACCCCCATCCCCAAATAAAGAAGAACTCTTCTGCAATCTGGATGACTGGGACTAGGTGTTTTATGCCGTTTCTGCAAATGTTGCCAGAGGTATCATCTGCCTCCTCACACCATTTATTTAAAAGAAGAATGGCCGAACATCGTCTAGAAACTTTATAGGCCTGAAGAATGTTCAGCTACTTTACGCAAAAGATGTCAACAAGAAAGAGTATCTAAGGAATAATATATCCAGATATGTGTAGGGTGATCAGAAAAATCCATCAACACCCAGGGCCACATTTCCAAATATTTTCACTACGCGAAAAAGCATCTAGCAAGTCTTCAAGTATTTTGAATGTGTTATATTCACATGGGTACTTGATGAGCAATGACCCAGAAGTTCTCAGTGCCATGGAGACAGAGGAAAAGGCTATTCCTAGATATACATGAGGCATATTGCATTGGGTTTAGCAATCTCTTTGTCTAAGGAGTCTGTTGCTGTTTTTCGGGGGGGGTTTTGTTTGTTTGTTCTGTTTTCTTCTTGCTAGAGGGCATGTGTACTCTCCAGAGACACAGAGGGGGGCAGTGAAGAGAGAGGAGGGTGATGTCCACAGCACAATCCCTTCTTCTCCATTCTCCTCTTGGGATTTTTGCCATGCATGCACGCATGCCAGGCATGTTTCTCAAGTCACTGAGTCTGGGACTAAAACTGCAAGGTTAGCCATGTGGGATCCGGCTGCCTCTACCTCCATGTCACCTGCTGGCCTTCCAACCTAGCTAACCTAGTTTATCTCTGTCTAAATAAAAACATGGTTTAAGAGTTTTGAGCTTCATCTAAATAAATTAGCATCCAGCCACTTAACAACACCTAAATAATTTACTTTTTCAATACAGCTTCAAAATTTCTGGCTATACTAAGCGTCTAAACTCAAAGACTCTCTGACATTTGGCTAAGTCTTTCATACAATATCCACTTGATGCCATGAAAGAAATGTATTTGCAATGGCTTTTGCTCTGCAAATGTCATGCGGGTGTCCTTAGGGGATTGCATTAAGCACCTGGCACCCACCATGAGACTCTGTTAACAAGAGATATAAAGGTTATGTTGAAATTATTGTTTAAAGGTGCTGACATCACACACGGGCACACACACACACACACACACACACATTTTCACAGTCACAATCACATATTCAATTATATACCAAGTAGCAACTGTTTCAGGATTTAAAAGAACAAAGAGAAGAAAAGAAGCTATTTCAACCAAGGTTATCCTGTGGATATCTCTATGCAAGACAGTACTTGTAATTATCTATTTCCTTCCACTGATTGACTCCACACATTATTACATAATATTTTGGCATCAAGCACTGCAATAAGGTTCTGGAGATGGCAGGAAATACAAAGAAGTATAAACTAAAGTCCCTTTATTAAGTATAGGTTGATCAAACGTGAGCGCTCATTACTATAGCATCTAAGCTTTCATGCGCCAATTCACTCACCTAACACACATACCCTGAACATTGATGAGCACCAGGTACCATGCTAGCACATGGATCTGCGACCACGAGTCAAACCAGACATAGTCCTTTGGATCTTATAATTCAGCGAGGAATGCAACTGATCCAAAAATTATGCAAATCAATGTAACATCTCCACTGCGACAAGCACTCTGAAGAAGATGCACACAGTCTGTATGATAGCACATCAAGAGGGATTTGTCTTTGTTAGGGACTTTAGAGAAGGTATTCTGAGGAAGTAATGCTGAGTGCCAGGTCTGACAATTTCGAGGTTTGCATTAATCAGGAAAGAACGTTGAAAGGGAACAAAGGTCAGGGGTGTAGGAGAGGAAAGCTAGGGTGAGAGCTGAAAGAAGACCACCCCAGGGGAAATGTTAACAGTGAGTCAGGAGAGAGAAGGAGGGACCAGAACAGATAGAGGCTGATAGGTACTCTCAAGGGCTCTGGTCTTTATTCTGTAAACAAAGAGAAAATGGAGAAGGGTTTAAGCAAAGGCATGTAATCACAAGATCTACATTTAGGTGATTGTTTTTCAGGTTACAGTGTGAGTACACTGGAAGAGACCCTGGCAATAGTTCAGATGACAGATGTAACTTATATACAAGTGATAATGACAACACAACAAAGTAGTAAATGGAATCAAGAAATGTTTAGAGGCCCAGCAACAATTGTGCAGCAGGTAAGGAGCTGCTCTGTAACATTAGAGCCACATGGAAGACTGTGGTTTGGATCCCACATCAGTCTGAAGGATGCCAGTGCCCATGTGTGCACCAGTGATCCTGGCATCCTGGATGGCTAGAGGGTTAGTGGGGATGGGTTGGGGACTACAGTGTGATGATACCCTGTGAAAGATACGTATTTCTCTCTAGATAGAGATAGAGATAGAGATAGAGATAGAGATATATACATATCTGTTCTGGTCCCTCCTTCTCTCTCCTGACTCACTGTCAACATTCCCCTTGGGTGGTCTTCTTTCAGTCTCTCACCCTAGCTTCCCTCCACCCTTTCTCAAGAGAATTTGCTAACTCTATAACTCTACAAGTTACTTCTGTCATCTGAACTGTTGCCAGAGTCTCTTCCAGTGTATTCACACTATAGCCTGAAAAAGAATTGCCTAATGTAGCTCTTATGTTTCCATGCCTTTGCTTAAACCCATACACTATTCTCTTTGTTTACAGAATAAAGACCATAGCTCTTGATGCTAGCTAGCTACCAGCTCCTATCTGTTCTGTTCCCTCCTTCTCTCTCCTGACTCACTGTTAACACTCCAGAGTGGGGAGAGAGAGAGAGAGAGAGAGAGAGAGAGAGGATCCAAGGATGGTGGGTTAGGAACAAGGAAGGCTTAGGATATCTCCTAGGTTTCTGATTTTACAAATACATGAATAGAATTAAGAAATACTGGAAGAGAATCAGCTATGTTAGGGAGAGATCAGGAGTTCATTTTTGGGACATATGGCATAGAAAGGCTTCTGAGGCAGGAGATAATGTCAAGAATGCAGCTGAGGGAACCAGCAGTTAGCGTAATGGCTATGTCGCTGGACTCCCATGTAGTTGACCATGGTTCGCATCCCAGACCCGGTGGCTTAAAACTCACGCCGGGCGCGTGTGCGTGCATGCCCAAGATCCCGAGAGGAGAATGGAGGAGAAGGGATTGCGGCATGACCATTTCCCCTGGGGGATGATTTCTCGCTTTCTGTCTCTATGTCTCTCTGTGTCTGTCTGGTGAGCACAGGCACCCTATAGCAAAACACGTCTCCAAAAAGAAAAAAAAAAAAAGAATGCAGCTGAATATATGAAATCTAGAGATCAAAGAGGAGGTCTTATTGGGTCACTACATTTTTAATGTATTTTCACAAATAATAAGATGGACCTGTCTGAAGGTCCTGTCAGTATATCCAGATTTTAAAAATATGAGATATGTGTGATGGAATATGCCTTAGACTCGGAATCTGACAAACTGCACTTGAACTCTGGCTCTGCCACTACTGCTTTGGAGGGTTTGAACAAATACGTCAGCCTTTCTGTACCTTTACTAACTGTACTCACTATAAAATCTCTATAATTACATATGTCCTACTTACTTCACAAGGCTGCCTTAAATAAGGCCAAATGAGTAAAATTATAGAGAAGGCCATTTTGAAAATGTGAAAGGATAAACAGCATTGCCAATAAATGAACTATTCCTGCCACATATTTTGATATTTGAGAGTAGAAAGGAAAGTTAACTGCTGTAGACAAAATCAACTTGGTTGGCACAATGAAATGTCATTAAATCCCCTCCAAATTTGGATTGGAGAAACAAATGTATTTCCCAGGGTGAGAAGATATGAATGAAAACAGTATTTATTCACCTTCTGATCCAAGCTGTAGGCCAGCACCCAGTCTTCCTGCTTAGGGTGGAAGAGAAGACTCTGGATGAAGAAGGTGAGTCGGTACTTCTGATAGGTTGCCCCTTCATCTGAGCTGATTAATATGCTGCTCTCCATTTCAGGATCACTAAGAAGCATGATCTGAAGAAAGAACCGAGTCAAGAAAAGACAGACAGAGTTACTGGAGAGAATAAATACAAAAAATTTAGTCATACAGTCATCAGAATGTGTACATCTTACTACATCAGTGGGCGTCTGGGCCTCTTTATGAAATACTGGTATTATCTTTTTCCCTTGATGTAGTCCTTCAATGCTGAGTTGAGCTGCAATGTGGTATGAGGTTAGATCTGCATGAAAAAGGAGGGTTCATTTTGGACACCCATCCTTTAAGAACTGGGAATATATTCTTATGGTCCTCTGTCCCCTGATATTGGGACAGTCACATCTCTTTCTCTCAATTCTTCATGTCACTCTTTATCACAGTATCCCTCTTCAGTCATGGGTGGGAAACTACCCCTTCTTCCATGATTTTGTTCTTTCTGGATTGATTTTCTGATTTGATTGATTTAAGTGGTTTTTAATCCTTTGTTAGAGATATTTTTCCAAAACACAGATTCCCAAAGATACCTTAGACAATTCTGCCTCCCTTGAGACCAGCAGTTAGTGTAATGGCTATGTAGCTAGACTCCCATATAGTCAACTGCAGTTCTAGTCCTGGACCCGGTGGCTTAAACTCATGCCAGGCACATGTGCATGCGGGCCCAGGATCTCGAGAAAAGAATGGAGAAGGGATTGTGGCCTGGCCATCCCTCTGGGGTGTGATTTCTCACTTTCTGTCTGTTTCTCTGTCTCTCTCTGATCTTCTGCCGAGCATACATACTCTATAGCAAAAACCTCTCCAAAAAAAAAAAGAGAAAATTCTGCCTCCCAAAAAGGTTTGTCATTCCAAGTTAAGGGACAGAATTGCGTAGTGAAAGGCGTTGGCGTTAGCATCAGAGAGAGCAGGTTCAAATCTCAACAGTTCTCTGTTCATATTGTATCATTTTGAGAAAATGATACTTATCCTCTAGAGGTCTTAGTCTCCTCAACAATAACTTGAATCTAATAATACCCAAGCTGGCTTGGGACACATGGCATAATATGTATTCTTGACAAACAATAGCAATGGCTACTCTTTAAACTTCTCCAGCCAATGCAATCTGGCTTCTACCCATAGTGCCACAATGACATTGGCCTCACTTTGGGTATGACTGTCTTTCTATTAGACACTCAGACACTCAGATCATTCCCTGTTAACTCTTAGAAAATGCTGACATCACTGACAAGTTCATTTTTCTCACAGCATCCTTTTCCAGAGGCTCATATAATGCCATATTCATTTAGGTTTCCTTTTTATCTATTTTGGAAACTCAGATTTCTCTGATTTTCCTTTAATATAACTATTTCTCAACCCAGTTCTCATTTCACTCAACATTTACTCTCTGATCTCTGCCACTCTTGTTTTATTTTTTTTTTTTGTTCTTTTCTTTGTCTTTTTCAACCTGGAGACAACTTGTAAACCTTTAACTGAGGTACTGACCGTCAGTTTCAGAACTGAAAAGCTCAGCTGATTAGATTTTTCCATTTGGGTGTTCCACAAATGCCTAAAATTTAAGATGTCCCACATGGTACCTTCTCCTAGTCCTATAGCTCCCAAGTGTCCTCTGACTCAGTGAGAGTTTCCATCAACCATCCATGTGAATGAAGTAGAGTCCAAGGTTCCTCCTTGCTCTGCTTTTTCACACACCAACTAAAATTAATGAGGCTCTGAACCCTGTTTATCTTACCTTAAGATCCGATGCATGCTCCACTCCCTGACCTGCTGTGCTCGCCTTGGTCCAACACATGCTCATCACTCCACGGGATTACTGTAACACCCCCTTTCCAGCCCTGCCACTTTATCCCTGTTGCCTCCAATCCATTTTGCACTCTGTGATTCACACAATCACCCCACAAAATGTGATTCTAACATTCTCCTGCTTAAAACTATCCAATGGCTTATCATTGGCCTCCCTATATTCCAAAATCCTTTAAAAAGCCTGACAAAATCTTTCCCATGCTTATGTTTTTGGCTTCGTCAGCAGCGTAGCCCTTTTGAATCTTATTATCCAACTCAACTCAGCTTCTTTGAGTTCCTAATGTTAGTTGAGTGACTGAATGAACTGGCATGTTTATTTCCTGTTACAGTTTTTCCTGTCTTTACATTATACTGCTACCAATTGTTAGGGTTAGTTCTATCACAAGGTCTGAAACAAGGTCCCAACATACAAAATAAAGGCTAAAAATATTTCCATAGCTTAGGAAATAAAACTACTATAGTAGAATTTTAAAATGTTACCCAGTGCATGTATTAGTACTAGAAAGTAAGCATTAAAACAAATTAGGCTTTTTAACTGCTCAGATTCATGGTCCTTTCCCTCTTTATTCCTTTATAGCTACCAAGGCAAGCTTACCTTCTTTTCTCAAATATTTGCTTTGGCTTCATTGAAATAAGTCATTACTAGTGGTTAGCAAATTTTTAAGAAATGGATGCAATATAATAATTTTTCATCCATGTGTAAATAATCCAAAGAAAAGCTCTTAGACTGGTAAGTCATAGACATAGAATAGCCTTCTCCCATGGCACCGTGAAGGAGTAAGAGAAACCAGGAGAAGCAGGCCGGCTGCCCTTGAGAAAACCTCAGAGGAGGCATCTGTGGTGCCTGCAGACTTTGACAGGACAAACACACTGAGTAAGAATGAGGCTTTCGTAACCAGACTGGCTTGCTTCATACCATGAACTGATGGGCCACATAACAGGCAATGAAATCATTTTCCCCTGGTGCAGAGACATTAAGCTGCGTATTTTATGCAGATATAAAGAAGCTTCATGCCTATGATTTTAATTAGAAGATAAGACCAACATCATAAATGAACTTGATTTTATATACCATGAGTTACAATATACTGAATAAGTATTACCATCAGGTATCTTGTGCAATGTATTCTCTTCCTCTGTTGGTGTGTGTACACACATGTGCACACAAACACATACACACACTTGCATGCACAAATATTAATCCACACACAAATTCCACATATGTGTGCACACAGGCTAACACAGATACGGAGAATATGTGAAAGTTTGCCTACAGAAATGAATTTCTATATAATAAGGCATATTGGCATTGGTGGTGGTTTTATGAAGCTTTTGTTGGCAAGAATACATTTTTATTGCAACCTTTCTCTGACATTCTCATCAGAATCCTTTTATATACTTTGATATCACTGGCAGTGTCTCTATTCAATCATACTTTCTGAGAAAAAAGAAAGGGAGGGGAGTGAATGCCTACATGTTTGGCATTTCTAACTTGTGCTAAACACTTTACCTGATATTTTATCAAGAGCCCACCCAAATCACATGAAGTAGGTATTATTACTTGCATCTTACAGATAAAGAAATTGAGGCACAGGATGAAGCGATTTACCTACATTATTCCTCTGAGTAACCCAAAGTCCACCTCCCCCTCAACCAGCTACCCTTGAGAAAACTTTGGTACACATGTATACACACATGTGCACACATGCACACACACACATACGCGCACACACATATGCATATGTCTTCATCTTTTTTAAGGCATCCCAAGAAATCCATGCACGTAAAGAAAGCATATTTAACAAAGCTCTTTTCCTCTTCTGACACATATCTACTGGTGACAAGAGAATATCAAGAATTAAGAGGGGCAGCCCCATAGTCTAGTGGTTAAGGGAGCCTGGATCCTACATGGCTGACTGTGGTTTGAATAGCAGACCTGGCAGCTTGAAAAACAGGCTAGGATCATAGATGTGACAGCCCAAATCCCAGTGGGCTAGAGATGAAAGAGAAGGTTCAACTACACCCCGTAGGAGTTGGGAGCACTTTCTCCCTCTCTCTGTCTGTCTCTCGTTAGTAAGTACAAGCACTCTCTACCAATAAAAAAAAAGAAAGAAAGAAAGAAAAACGAATGAAAGGAATAGAGATCTAGGAGGCAAATATAATATTAATTATTAGTGCTCTAAAATAAATAATTAATAAAGAAAGAGACCATGAAAGTAGTATAAATATAATAAGATAGCAAAATGTTTGGTTAGAAGTTAAGTCTCAAGATAACATGCATATTGTATATTAATATACCATATATATAAAGAAAAGCTTCTCACATCCACCCAAACTTTTATTGTTAAGTGGAGATTTCAATTCAAATGGATATGGGAGCTGCAAAGTAAATGAGTGTATCAGATAAAGCAAGACCAGAAGTGGTAAGGATGGTGCCAAATTGTAAAGTGAACCCTAGTCCTCAAAACACTTGACCAGCAGATGGCATAATGGTTATGTTGCTGGACTCCCACATGACTGATCATGGTTCAAGTCCTGGACCCAGAGGCTTGATATTCATGCCATGTGCAAGTGCATGCATGCCCAAAATCCCAAGAAGAGAATGAAGGAAAAGGGATTGCAGCATGGCCAACTGCCTTGGGAGGTGATTTCTCACTTTCTGTCTCTTTGTCTCTCTGGCAAGTACACATATCCAATCACAAAAATCTCTTAAAAAAAGAACTTAAAATTGGATTTTTAATAAATATTTTGCTTAAATTATGTAAAGACTGAGTTTACGGACTGGACATGTACTTTTGGTAAATTTATAATAGCTAGTTTCTACAAAGACATAAATTTACAACTGTCAACCTTATCATATTTTTAATTTTCAGAGGGTGCATATGTCTGAGAGAGACAGAGACATAGGTGGAAAAGAGAAAGCACCCCCCCCCCGCAGGAGGGCATGGTCATACTGCAATCCCTTCTCCATTTCTCCCTCCTTTCAGAATTTTGAGCTTGCCCACCCACATGCCCAGCAAGTTTTACAAGTTGCCAGGTTGGGATTCCAACTGCGATAGGCCATGTGGGATCAGACTTCCCTTAACCACTAGGTTATGAGGCCAGCCCTACTTTTCAATTTCTTTTTTTTTTTTTTTTTTGAGGTATTTGCCTTTGTAGTTATATAGGTATATGATCTGTGAAAATGGATGTTTAGATTCCTATGAGATCTGCATTTGTGATTGTGACAATATGAATGGGACAG